TAGGGGGCAGCGTCGTGCAGATGACGCGTGACTTGAGTCAGCTCAAAGTGCTTATGACGCACTCGAAGAGCTTGACCCCCGCGCAGCAGAACTGGCCGCCCTTGATACAAGAGGCGTTTGCCCAGCTCGAGGTAAAGCGGGCGACACGCCGCATGTTTGGCTCCATTCGGACTCTGTGTTGGACAGATCATGCCAACCTTACCCGAGCACAAACGTCGGACATCGGAATGGATCCGAAACTCGTCCGGCGGGTTGCGGAAATCCTTATGGATGGGTCCGAAATAAGGAGCCTTAGCGGTCGCTCAGCGACGCTGGGTGACAGTTTTAGCCGCAATCCCAAAGATCGGGATGCGCTCCTTGCGGCGAGAACGAAAGATCTCGAGGGCCTTTCGGGCCAACTCCGAGGTTTCGACCTGGACCAGTACCTCGGAGAGGGTACTGAGGGTGACGGACCCGTGCCCTGGGCGGTCGGCAACGACGCCGTCCCAGAGCCTGCGGGCCGTGTCCAGGCCGCGGCTGTGCCGATGTGCGTCGTCGCAGCCCTTCCGGCGCGCGTCATGGTTGTCTTTGACTACGCGCGTTGGAAAGAGCAGGACGCAGAGCTGACTGAGATCAGGCGCGTTTTTCAAGCGAGCCTCCCTGGAGTTTCTGTGGCTGTCAGGGGTTGTTGGGGTCCGTTTGAGGATACCGACGGGCTTGCCTCGCATTTTGATTGCGGGGCCGGCAGGCTCGCAGGGACCAAGAAGATCAAGCGGATCAGGGTCGACTTGCTTACTTCGTGTGCCAAGGTTCTTAGGGAAGCTTCGGGGTTTCGTCCGCAGTTCCTCGTAGGACTTGGGCAAGGCGGGCTGGTCACAGCCGTCCTTAGGTGGCCTTTGGTTGTTGAGCTCACGCTCCAAGCAAGGAACCTGCAGCGCAAGGAAGCTAGGGCTGTAGGAGAGGCTTGGGCAGGCATCAAGGCTATCTGGGCGGTGCGGCCACGCCTTTGGCGCACGCAGCAGGGCCACTTGGAAGTGGCCGAGGCTTGTCCGGAACTCAAGAAGGATTTTCCGGAGCCTCCCCTGCGAGGTTTTGGGATCGTAGGGAAGCAGGCATTGGGGGCGGAAGTTCTGCGGTCCTTGAGGTTGGACGCGGTTCGTTCCATCGATGATGCCAGCATTAGAGGGATGCTGGACGAACCGTCAAGACCCCTCTGGGACCATGAGGGTCTGTGCATCTGCGGCAAGCGGACCTACCTGTTTTCTCGCTGCCCCGCCTGCATCGAGAAAGAGGCAGTCGATACCTCGGTGGAGATAGCCGAGCGGGAGGAGCCCGAACCTCCGCTTGAGGGCGACCTTGAGGCCCATGAGGTGGGCCTAGAGGTCAACTCCGTCCTTGCAACTTTGGATAGGACAGGAGGTTTAGTTAGGGTTAGGTCCTCAACCATCCAGCAATGGGCGGTAGGGTTCAGGACTACGCCCAAAGATGCTCCAGTTCCCACAGCATATGGCATGCTGAGTGGGAAGATATGGAAGAAGAGCCATTCCATGAAGCTCAGCCTCGGCTCCCAGCACAAGGATCTTTCCAAGTGGGGCGATGTGAAGCCTTACTGGACCACATGGGTGGTTAGAGAAGATGGTGCTGTGGTGGCGGGGCACAACTGCTCGCCCCTGAATGTGGTTCAGGGCGACATCGTCGTGCATTGGTCGTCAGTGGTGAACTGGCACGGCCACAGACATGTCGTGAATGAGCAGTGTGAAGTGCTCTGGAGGTCTAATGGTAAAGAGGTTGCCTTAGACCCCTCCTTCGGCAAGCTGATAGCCCTTGTGGGTAGGGTTACTCAGGTCATTGGCTGGCGGGCAACCGGAGAAGCTTCGGATCCCCGCAGTTCTACCCGGCAGGCGTCAAGGGTCCTTGCTCAATTCTCTTCGTCCAACGAGGGCGTAGAAGGGCATTGGACCGCGGGCGCTATCAGTCGCGGGAAGAATGCCAATGAGTGCAAGCTGAAGGGTAGAGTTTTGGCGTTTATGGGTGAAGAGCACAAGGGCCCTGCAGTGGTTCTAGAGCTCGTTAGCCATAGCCCCATCCTGTGCATTTGGGACCATTCCTCAACCAAGGTCAAGGTCGGGTTTAAGGGCGGTGTTCCGTCTTTGAGCCTGATCGCGGAGGAGGACGAAAATCGTCGTGAGCAGCTTGCGGTCGAGGCAAGGAACGCGGCGAACATTTCGGAGTTCCGAGTCACGGGATCCCTTCGTACGGCGTGGTACGGGGGTCAGCGGCGCGATCCCTCATTGGCGGGCTCGATTCGCAAGCCAGAGCCGCCGATGGTGATATCCGGAGACGGGTTGCTCGAGCGCGAAGTGACCCTCAGGACGGGTCAAACCGTCGTTGTCCCAGTGGTTCCCAACGGGGCTGCGGGCGCGAATGGAGTGACCTGGCGCCGCGCTTGCTACAATTCAGTCCACTGCGGAGTCCTTGGGGCCCATAGGTCCGCTGAGGTTACCATCAAGCTGCTAGAGAGGGCAGTCTGGTGGCCCGACTTAGAGAAAGATGTGCGGACCTGGGTCGCCAAATGTCTCGCTTGCATTAAGGGCCGCTCTCGACCGACGAAGGTCGAGGCTCGTGCGGTCAAATGTGGCGCCGAGACATGCTGGCAGGAAGTCAGCGTGGACTGTGAAGGTCCAAACCGAGAGGACAGGGAAGGGCATAGGTACTCGCTTACGTACTTCGATTGCCTCAGTCATGCTGTCCTCCTCGAGCCGATGAGGTCTCTGACTCATGCTGAAGTCAGGAGGGCGTTCGTGCGCTGTGTGCTTCGCAGCAGGACGATCCCGAGCCTCATCAGGTCGGATAGAGGGCCAGAGTTCAAGAATGCGCTCATGGCGGAACTCAGCGCTATGCTTGGGACCGAGTGGCGGTTCAGCGCGCCCTTGAGGCCTTGTGAGTTGGGCGCAAACGAGCGAGTCCACCAAGAAGTTCAAAAGGTGCTGGGGGCGGTCGTCAGGCAAGTCGGCGCCTCCCTTTCCGAAGCTTGGTCGGATTGGCTCGTGGTGGCGGAGTACGTCATAGATAACACTCCGGGACCCCACGGGTATACCCCGAGGGACCTAGAGCGGAGCTGGTCGCTCGCTCTACCACTTGAAAAGGACGTCCTGCGAGACGCCTTGCAGTTTGAACCCATCTCTGATTGGGCTCGGAGCCAGTTTAAGCAGTTCTCGGAACTAGCTGCTGCGGTCCGAGAGCACTGGACGCGGTCTTCAGAAGCGCGGGCGAAACTTGCAAATCGCCATAGGCGCACTGTGGACCTTAAGCCAGGCGACCGAGTGGTCTGGAACGCTCCGAGGGCCCGTTCAGAGGGGGCGGGGCGTGTGCCTTGGAAACCGGGTCTGACCGGCCCCTGGCGCGTGTTGGAAGTCAAGGGCCACAGGCTCACCTTGGAGCCCGTGTCGATGGAGTCGGGGGGTACTTCTTCCGCCCGGCGCGGCCCGATGGAGGCGCACGCAGAAGACTGCATTCTTGTTCCTGCAGATGCAGATGGCGCGGAATCCCGCGAGCCGGTCGTCTTTGAGGACGATGGAACCGGCGGGGATGGCTCGTCTCGCCCCAGCTTAGGGCAACAGGTTCAAGGCGACGCCAAGCAAGTGGAGTTCACGCTGACCAGGCGCGGGAGGGACTTCGTCCTCCGCCTTGGCGACCGCATTGCCTATCGGGGTGTAGGTGGAGGCCCTAAGGTGTGCAGGTTAGGACGGGTCACGCAGGTAGATGCTGCCCGTGCGCAGGTCGGCGTGCACCGCTATCTCCCCGACGCCAGCGGGGTTCGCGTCAAATGGCGGCTTGCATTCATCGCCGAGGACGGTGCGCTCACGCTTTCAGAGGGGACTCGTCCGGCCCACGAAGCGGTTTCCGTCAGAGAGATCATTTCCAAGATCGACCTGAACCGCGACGGCGTGCTTGCTGCAGCCTCGGCCAGAAAGTTGGACAAGGGAGCGTACTCGTTGCAGGACAGGACGCTCGAGAGAGCGTCTCGCACCAGCACGGGTGTGCTCTCGATCCGAGAGGCCCTCGCGGACCTCTTGGTCGCGGAACCCCGCGTTTTGCAGCCTAGGGCTTCCCCAGAGTCGGGTGCTGTCGAGAGTTGGTTCCGGCAGTATTTCCTTGGAGGGGTTGCCGATGTCTTAGAGGTTGCTTGGGGTGACGCGGTCGTCTCCGACGCGGCTAGGAGGCACGGGTACAGGGTTGTCTAACCGGGGTAGACCGACATGTAGCGTGAAGTCAGCATATCAGAGAACATGAAGAGTGACAAGACATGCGATCCCAGCATAACTGCGGTGCAAGCAAAATGCATCAACACTCGGACATTGCTCCTTCCTTTTTGCGCTCGCACCTTCATGAGTCTGCTCGGTTTTTGGTCAGAAGATGGCGGGGGTAAAGACAGCAGGTGGCAGATGGAACACTCATCCTCTCACCTGTCCGCTGTTGCTCAGCAGCATCTCGTTTCCCCCCCCGGGTGGGCGGGTGGGTCACAAAGAAAATTTGACGCTCTGACAAATGTGATAGGCCAGAGCTGTACTGGCTTCAGCGGCAAGCTCAAAGTCAACATGCATCAAGGGTAAATCCAAAGCATGAAAAACGAAGTGCAGCATGTACAAGAAAATAACAAGACTGCCGACAAGAGGTGCGGGGCACAAGAGATGGTCAAGCTCAAAAGAGGTGAGTTTTTGTGTACTTTCACTTTTGACAGTCGGTTGCGCTCCGTTCCTACGCCAACCCCAGTAGACTGCGGCACCTGCGAGCAGGCACCCAACGTCTAACCGGGGTAGACCGACATGTAGCGTGAAGTCAGCATATCAGAGAACATGAAGAGTGACAAGACATGCGATCCCAGCATAACTGCGGTGCAAGCAAAATGCATCAACACTCGGACATTGCTCCTTCCTTTTTGCGCTCGCACCTTCATGAGTCTGCTCGGTTTTTGGTCAGAAGATGGCGGGGGTAAAGACAGCAGGTGGCAGATGGAACACTCATCCTCTCACCTGTCCGCTGTTGCTCAGCAGCATCTCGTTTCCCCCCTTCATGTCATGCTGCTGCGCCCTCCGTTGGTACGCAGAGACAAGATCGTCGAGCAAACTCTTTTCGAAGGTGTCGCTGAGGATGAACTTCTCAAGTTCAGGAGGGATCTCGAAGCATCCCTCGTCACAAGCTGAGAGCTTCTCACAGATCGCGCTGATCAGTCCCCTTGACGGGGGGTCTGCAGGGTTGCTCTTTGACGGGACCCTTTCGTACCATGCGCCGAACGAATGGACGGCATCAATGGCGCTCATCGCCGCAATCAACCGGAACATCGCTAAGGCTGGGCTGCATCGCTTGATGAGTGTCATGCGTGCAGATTCGTTGTCAACGAACACAAAGCCCAGCCTGGACTTGAAAGCGCCCCCGAATGCCCACCTGGCACATACGACGGCCAGCAGCTCGATCTCACAGATCACCTGCTGGCCAGCAACTCGGGCCCAGTATGAAATGATGCGATTGGGAACATGGCCATGGAGAACAGCTTTGCGCCCTGACGCGGGGTCAACCAGTAAGCAACCCCAGGAGCCCTTACCCTTTTCGAAAGAACCATCGGTGTAGAGAACAAGGGGGGCGCCAGGGGAGTGGATGCTGAAAACCCTTGGCTTGCAAGTTTGCACCACGGACTGGAGCAGCATGCGACTTTCGCGTAAACTCTCAGGCTCTGCTGACGATGGGGACACGGCCAATGCAGAGTACAGTTTGGCCACCGGCTTGAAGGCGTGTCCTAGAACAAACCCCCCTGCGAAGTTGAGTAGGCCATGGAGTGACTCTGCAGTCTGCTTGACATTTGCTTCAGGGGCCTCCATAGTCTCAGCCATGGAAAGAATGCGCTCAAGCCTGCCGGGCTTGTTGGACACCTGCACGGACCCCTCATGCAAACGTGATACATCGAACTGTGCTCCCAAGGCGCACCACTTCTGTTGGAAGTCAACAGCTTTCTTTCCAGAGGTGGCATGAGCCCACCCCAAGATATCCAAGAGATCTGAGAACACATGGGTCGTGCTTGAGGCGAGAGGGCCGACTTCAAGAGTTGGAAAGTCATCAACGTATACACTGGTGATGATGGAAAGCTGCGTCACGGCCAGGTGCCATATAGCCTTGGATACCTTGCAAAAAGAAAACACAGATCCAGAACCTCCGAAAGGCAAACCCCTTGCAAGATAAAAGGCCCAAGAACCTGTTCTGGAAGGCATTGCGTCCTTGATGGGTACCTGCTTGTAGGCCTTTGACAAGTCGAAACATCGCCCGACCCATTCGCACTTGGAGTCAGCAAAGTCACTGTGCCACGGCCCCCTTAAGACTTCGCCCGTCTCAAGAGTGACCGATACTTCAGACCTGTTGGCCCAAACCTTGGAGACGAAAAGGCACAAGCTCGTCACAAAGTCGCAGTCGTGCATTGACAGGTATGAGCTGGAACCGAACGCAGCGTTCACGCCCGAATCACGCAAGTTGTCGATGACCCTTGGCTTCTGGTCTTCTCCCTGAAGGAGCAAAAACCTTTGACTAGGAGACCACTGATCTGTGCCGAGGCGAGATGACACTTCTGCTTCGGAGCCAAAGGGGCCCTCGAGGAAGCCAGCCTTGCACTCAGCTTCTGTCTCATCATTGAGCATCATGAGCTCTTCAGGCTCCAATTGCTGAGGCGGGGACGATAAAAGCGCCCTTCTGCGCCATACGGACTGCGAATCAAGCTGCTCAGGGGTCATGGTCATTGGTTTAGGCCTTATGCTGAAGAGAGGGGAATCGGGCTCTGCGCCCACCAAGCTGACACCCTCTTCCATGAAGTCACACACACTCAAGTCGGGGAAACCTGACTCAACCAAAAGCTCCCTGAACAAAGCTAACCTCTTTCCCTTGGTGATGGGGTGCCCTTCCTGCATCTGACGATAGGATGCTCTGTCCTTGATTTCCTCGAGTTTGGCAAGACGCCTTTTGTGCATTTCTTTGCAGCCAACAGTTGCGAGATCGAACACTGCCCTTCTGAGTATGTCTGGAACAGAGCACGCCTTATCGATGGGGTGTGGCAAGTTGATGGCGCATCCTAGGTGCTCTTCTGGCGTATAGTACACGCCCCACGCTTGCGGCTTGACACTGTTTGCTGCCTTGTAGATGAGGCCTCCAACTCCTTCTTCCCACGCGGCATTGGAGGCAGAGCAGTGCAAACTGGGCCACGGGAAGTGAAGCTGTTGCAAAGAAGCAAGGTCTTTCGGGGGCAACCGGGGCCATGAGGACACCACAAAAGCTGCCAAGACGATGCGACTACCGCGCCATGGCATGACAGCATGGGGCACAGAGGTGCGGAGCAAACAAGGTCCTGCGGAAACAGGGATGAGTTCACCCATGACCCCCGACCCGTCTGGGGCCGGGTGCACACCGGAAGAAGAGCTGACCCAGACATCGCCGTCTTGGAAATCGCTGAGAGGGACCAAGACGTTAAAGAATCTGTGGTCGTTAAGTCGATCACAATGTACGGGGCTGGCCATGTCGCAAAAGACAGCAATGGACGTGCACATGGCTCCTGGAGCAAAGTGAGAGACCACAGCGGCCAAGACAAGACACGTCCAAGGGCTGGTACGCACGGAACGATGCAGACCGACGTCACCAGAGAAAGTGTAGGCACCGCATGTCCAAGCAACGCCTTCGGCTTGGCGGTTGCGGCGGGAAGCGGGATCGGACGGGAGTAAATGACAAAGCGTAGTCAAGTCGTCACGCGAAGCCTCACCCGATTGCACGAGCGACCATGCCAAGCGCTCGTGGGGGGGCGAGGACAGCAAGCAAGGGCACGGGAGGCCCTCAGGGGACATCAAAGGCACAGGCCAGCACGGAGCGCCAAGGTCCTGGGCTTGAGACTGACTGCACTGACTGCATGTGACATGTGGGAGGGGCTTGGCATCAGGGTCAGGCGGCTCGGATGCCCATACCTTGGCCTTGAACTCGGGAATGAGGGCCACATGCCTGGGCTTTTGGACACCAATGGAAGCCAAGGAGGAGAGACGAAAAGCCTGCGTGGTCTCCTGCAGGAACTGGGGGGCGAGACCCGCGGAGATGGCATCAACGGTGCGCTGACACAAGAGAGAAGGGTACTGGGCAGCGGCAGCAGTGTCGAACAGCCAACGGTGACCCTCTTTCTGGACGGACCAAGGGCGATGGGCATGGGACTGGTCGCATCTGATTGCAAGAGAGCTGAAAATGGATGGGGTGGCACGGAAACGAGTCGCCTTAGGGCGGTCGCCGCCATGCATGCACATGTCAAAACGAATGTCTTCAAGGCCAAAGTACCAATCAGCAAACCCAGGGCAGGAATGCTCAGCGGCGAACTGCTTGACCAAAAGGGCAAGAGCAGCCCAGGTCCAGGCTGTGTCGGGGTTCTCGATTGAAACAGTGGCGCCCAGGAGCCAAGCTTGATGGAGGCAGGAAACACAAGTCCGGTAAACAGCATTGGCTGCTTCCACACGCGCAGCTTCGGCGGGCTGAAGATGAGGCAGACCTAAAGGATGCTTGGCTGAACGCAACGGGCGAGGCTGAGGTGCTCCTTGAGCACGCAAACACGGCAATTTGCCGAGCACGACTGGAAGTCCCGCACGGGATCCCTAGGTGGATCCAAGAAGCTCGTGTAACACGCAACATGTCTCCGAGCAAAAGAGCAGAAGAAGAGAGGCTAAGGTCAATGGGCAAAAAGGCAACACGTGGCTTGAAACGATTGCTGGCGTGGTCGATGGGGAAGAAAAGCAACCCTAGACTGCAAAATCACATGAAAACGTGGTCATACTGACTCTCCCAGGCTTCGCGTGCCCCGGCACTGTTCGCACAGGATGAAGTCACGCGGCTCATGGGGGTCATAAGAAATGGCATAGTAGTTGTGACTGAGAGGCCTCCCGCACTTGAGAGTAGCGGGGCTCGCAGAAACAGCATGTACAATGGATGAAATGCAATGCTGGACATATTTCCCGATCTCTGGTTCTTTCAGCCCTTCAGTAGAAGCTGGCACCAGGCAGGATTGGTGTTGGAGATCATCATGGTCCTCGAGGTCAACGTCAGAAACCTCGGACTCGTCAAAGCGTTGAAGTGCTTTGGCTGCATCCTCGCGCGTCAAGTCCGCGGCAATTTGCGCCACACGGCTGGCACGACTGGCATCAGGGTCGAAGTCGCCCTGGCGGATTTGGTGGACGAGGTGTTGCAACTTGCCGAGTACTGGGGCCATCACATCGCGGCCATAGGTGACTGGCATTGCCTCGCCAGGCCCCACATGATGACCGAGCACACGCTTCATCGGTGAAGTGATTCGATTTGGTAGCCCATGACAAGGGCGTGGCCTTGAGGCTATGCGTCGTGTAAAGTTTGATGTCTTGGAAGTCAGGATGTCTGGAGGATAAGATTTCCTGCAACCAGGCACCACCTTCAGCAGCCGTCATATGCCTCTCAAGAAAGCATTCAGCCATCTCATCACAGGCTGGCATCAACAAGTGCTCGTCTTCGAGGCCAGCGATCCGACGTGACTTCAGCCACGCTTCGGCCCATGGCTGACTGCTGAAGGTATGCCCTAGAGCAATCAGGGGCATCAATGTGCGCCGATCAGCCTGTTTCTTCGCGGTTTTGTGCCCGAGCATCAGAGCCTCGATCAAGAACACAGATCCCGAAACATCAATAGACAAGCTTCGAGCCTTGGCGGCGTCGCTCCATCGAGCGCAAGAAAAGAGGCAAAAAAGGCAGAACCCAGCGATGATGGAGTGGATCACCGATCCATCGAAGACTGCCTTCTCGAGGGATTTTACTAGCCAAACTTTCAGTGCTGGGGCCTGCTGCAAGGGCCGTTTCTCCATGTAGCAGTTGTGGGCGCCTCCTTCGACACGAGGAGAAATGCAATCAGTGCTGTTGGTCACAGCGGTGAAGTGCATAAACCTCCAAGACGACACAAAGGCCCCTGCAGCAGTAGGCGCGGCCTTTTGATCACGAAGATGACAGATATAGTCATACATATGCTGCTCGGTGGGGGCTAACGGGCGACCTCCGTTGGATTGCACCTGCCAAACAGAGAAGCGCATGAAGTCACACGAGCGCTTGCACAAGGTAGCCGTTGCTTTGCTTGCATATACGTCAGACAAGATAGATGCAAGCTTCGGTGCCGGGATGATGCACCCACTAGCCTCCAGTAAGGAACGACCTAGCTTGGAGTCGCTGGGTTCGAAGAGGATAATGTTGCGCAATCTAGTCAAGGCAGCGAGACGCAGCTGATCGTCGGACTTGGCCATCCTGGTGGCATAAAGGCGCTTGGCTCTCTGCTGATTTTGCACAACCCATTCAAAAGCCCCAGCTGAACCATCGCGGTGAGCAACAAGATCTGCAGTCGACTCTGCGCGTCCAAGAAAAGACAATGCGAATGGATACTGGAGATTGTGGCGAGGACCTTGAAACACTGCGGCTCCAAATCCTTGTTCCCAAGGAAACTTCATGATAGGCTTGCGCTTCTCCTCGTACAATGCTTGCGAAACAGGCAGAGGCAACTGGCTGGATTCCTTGCTCTGCGTAGCCATAGTCTTGCGGGCTTTAGGTGTAGGCTCATGCACAAGGTCGTCTTGGCATTCTGATGGCGTGTCAGCAACCTGCTCGTACCATATAGCTTCTCTGGCTCGAGAATTGGCACTCACACCCTCGGAACCATCATGCTTGTCTTGGAAGAAAGACGATGGAGATGGGACCTGGAATTCATCGATGGCATCCAACTCTTCCGTGAATGATCCGTGATTTTGGGGGAAATCATCTCCCAAGCGGTCAAAGCTGCCTCGATGCGTCTCAAAGATGACATGACCTGATCCATTAGCGTCAGGGCGCTCTGGGCTTTTCTCAAGCGAAGACATACTTTAAACCAAAATCTGACACAAAATCATTCGCAGGAATATATAACTGCAAACCGACGACTGAACTCGCAACGTCACATCAAGCAAAGCACACATTATATTCAGTTCAATCAAGTGCATTTGTGCAAGAAAGGTCATTTCTGCTCCATGGGGCATTGGCACGCAAGTCACTACACTCACGTGCAGAACCTGACATCATGGCGGTGGCAAAAGAGGAAGAAAAGAGATTGGAAATCGTTTACAAGGCACAAGAAAGAAGTCACTCCTGACTGAGAATCCCCAGCAAAACTCAGGAGGACTTATTGCTATTCATCAGCCAGCGCAGGATAGCTGGAAGGGCAGCTCACTATGGGAGTGAGACAGTGCTCACGGTACGCGTACAGGTGTCAGTGTGCCCACACAAGCGGATGCGTTTGGCCAGCGGCAAACTGGCGAAAAGCCTCTGAGCTGCACCGGGCAAGGCACTGCAAAATCCTCAAGCAAGCTTCGTGATTGCAATCACGCAAGTGAACAATGCGAAGCCCAGGTGCGGGGCCCGAGCTTGGGGTCATAAAAGCTGGGGACCGAAGGTAGACAGGTCGGACGTCGGCTGACGCGGGCCAAACAAACGCCACAAGTGGCCTAAACGCCGCTGGATGTCGTCCACAACGCGATGAACAAGAGTCCAGGGTGAGGTTCCAGACCACTCAGCGGGTGGCACACCCACAGCACGCAGGAAGCCGGCTCGCTCAGCAGACAAGAGTCCAACCTGCGACGACAGGTTCTGAACCTGAGACTGCAAATCCTCGATGTCAGAAGCTTGTGCTTGCACTTGCAATTGCAGCTTAAGAAGGGACTGGGAAATACGACCGATAGAAGTGGCGTGATCCCAAGTCAAACGCAGGTGAGCTCTCTCGGCGTCCGCTTCAGTGGAGTCCTCAGGGACCAGTGTTCCCATCTGCAGCCCCCACGGGGCTGCGTACATGCGGTGCCCTAACGGCGCAGGTTGAGGAGCCTGGTTGAAGCAGAACCTGTTTGAACACCAACACTTCACAAAGAAAATTTGTGGGAACCCTGGCGGCAAGAGGAGTGGGGCGCCTTGTTTGGAACGCTCGCGGAGCCACGCTGGCCCTTGGGCTTTCGTGCGGGCTGACATGTGCCAGTTCGCGCGCGCCAGTGGCTGCGGCAACCTCGTCGAGAGTGGGGCCCTGTGGCTCGCCGATTTCAGCTTAGAATCGGTAGATTTGAGGTGTAGCAGGCCGGATGCGTTATGCACAGTGCAGCACAAGCACGTTGGGCGCGCGCAAGCCGACTACAACCTCATCGGGGCGGCTTTCTGCGCAGCTCCAGGACCTTGGTCTGAGGGGCGCCGAAGCACCGCTGCAGTTGAAAGCTTTCCAGCCACTGCGGGTGCAGACAGCGCCGCGGCTGCGCCACCGCCCTCTCCAGTCGTTCCCCTCCCGGACATGCGCTCGAGGCATGCGGAGCTGCACAAGGAGGTGGATAAGTACGCCGCTGAGAAGGAAGCGTTTTGGCGGACCAAGACGGACGCCAAGGACTGGGATTCCGTCCGGACTGACCTTGAGGTCTGTGCTCTTGCGGGCGAGAAGGTCGCGGAGGATCCTAGGCGCACCGAGGCCTATAGAGACCTCGTATGGTCAGGTTTGAAGATCGAGCCCGGACCAACCAGACCAGGGCTGGCCGATGCTGACATTGCAGCTGTTAGGGAGGTCATACGGCGAAAGGCCGCTGGGTTCTGTCAGGAAGTTCGCCCATGACTGCATCCCCACCGGGCCGCCGGTCTTGTCCCAACCTCACAGTCTGAGGGGCGAGTCCGCGCAATGGGTCGACGACAAGCTTGAAGAAGAATGCAAGCGGGGTCAGTTGATCCGCGGCAGCTCGGCTTGGGGATCTGCGCCGTTTCCGACCAAGGAAATACCCAGCTACAAGCGGCATAGGAAGCGACGCTTGGTGGTTGACTACCGCCGTGTGAATGCCCGAATTAAGCGCTCCACGTACTATTGCCGGCGGGGCAGCGATGTGCTCGCCGCCGCAGTGGGTTCGGTTTGGTACTGTGGGGGGCTGGAGGGGTGTAGTTAATTTTGCGGGCCAAATGGACCCCCTAAACTAGGACCCCCAGGCCCCCTTTCCTGGCACGACCTCGATGCTCAGATTCGGTTGCTGAAAAGCAAAAAGAGGTGCGTTCCAGTGGCTTTCAAACATCTTTGAAGATGATGAAAAAAGCAGCTTGAAACAATGGCCAAGGAATCCGGCAAATCTTCCAACACTCCATCGTTTAGAAGTGCTTTGAACAATGGTCAGGAAGCGCGTCTTCTCCGTGAAAAGCTCCTCTTGACCTCCCAAGTCCGCGATTTGAAATTGCTTGAAACAAGCGTTTTTGAAAGCCTCTGACAGTGCCGTTTGGACAGAAATCAACTGCAGGACGAGACGAGTTCAACTGTACTGCTGAGACGTCCATGTTGCGCGCGACGCCCAAACCGAACCTTTTTGAAAAGGCAAAGTGTCTTTCCACAATGTGAATAAGTGCGAGCGAAGCGAGCGAAACACCGGAGTGCATCTGACATGTGTTTTGTTGTCAGAGCTTGTTTTTGATGGTTTTACATTTTGATCGTCTTACTTTTGTTGATTGTCAGGTGTTGTCTGTACTGTTTTTTTTTCGGATCACTTTTTTTGATGAATAATTTCAAGGTTCCTTTTTTCAGACCAACGATTGCAACTTCTGGCAAGCTCAAAAAGCATCTGCATTTCTTGGGATCTCTCTGCAAGCGAGACACTCCATGGTTCAAAGTCCATTCATAAGACACCTGGTTTTGGGTTTTCTGCCTAAGTAGTGTTGAGACACCTTTGGGCTCGATCTGGACTTAAAATGGTGCAAAACACCCGGTGTTAAGACGCCCCTTGGTTCAAAAGTCAGGTTATTAAAGTGGTCCTTAAGACTCTTTTGGTTCAAAATTTCTTTTAGAGTCCCTGAGTCTCCAGAATCGCTGGATCGGTCCTGTTGGTTCTGTGTCTTTTTCGGGGTCTTGGTGCTGATTTTTCTTCTTGCTCTGAGTCTTGCCGTGTCCTATTCAGCTGCTGATCACACACGACTCCTGCCAAAACGTCGAAAAACCACAACACACACCCATTCACAATGAACAAGGCAAACACAGTGAAGAGGCTGCCTCGGATCTTTCTCTCTTCAGTCTTCTGGTCAATCTTGGTTGCTCCCTCTTTCTTGGTCTTCCAAGTGTCCGATCTTGGGTCCTGGAGTTCTTGGGTCTGTTGATTGTTGGTTGTTTTTTCGTGTTTTGTTTTTAATCTCCTGTTTGTTCTCTCTCTGCGTTTGTTGTCTGTTTCATGTTTGTGTCCATGTTCCTTAGATGTTGCTGGTCGGATCTGTTCCAAACAGATTCGAAGTTGTTGTGCTTTGGATTCAGTCCTTTGATCTCAGTCTGTCCTTTTCCCTTGTTGTGAGTTGTGGTGGTCCCTCAGCTTCTGGTCGATTGGGTCCCCTGGTTTGTTTCTTGTCATTTGAGTTGAATCGGTCTTGATCCTCAGTCGGTCTTGGGTCCATTGAATGGTTTTTGGCATTTTGGCCTTCCTTTAGTTCAACTCGATTGGTGATTTGGCATGTTTCTTTGTGAGTCCGTCGGTCCTTGCGGTCGTCGGTTGTCCTGTATCGTGTGTCTCTGTGTCGTGTGTGTTGGTTCTCTCAATGCAGTCTCCAAAAGTACGAAATGGAGCAAGTTTGGGGACCAGAATTGGGGGTGCCTGCAACCATGAATTTCTGGCAACGCACGTCTGGCCCCCCAAAGTGGGTTTTTAACTTGAGATCTGCAAAAATTTTTTGCCGGACCAGCTTTGCAATTCTTGTTCTTCTGTCCTGCAAATGTGTGTCTCTGTGTGTGTGTGCTTTTGTGATGGAATTTGCAGCTGTGGTTGCAGGAGCAGTTTTGAACCCATTTTTGGGGTCCCAATTTTGGGCCCATTTTGGGGTCATAATTTGGGACCCAAGCATGTAAAACAATGAAGACCTCCTCTCTTTCTGCCAACAAGTAGGTCCAATTTTGGAAGCTTTTTGGGGCCCTGTTTTCGGGCCCCCCAATTTAGGGAATTGCTGCTCCATTTTTGTCCACAGACAGCACGCCTGCAACGACAGCTGTCGTGTTGAGCTGAAGTAGAATCTCTTGTGGAGGTGGTCTGTGTGTTCGCAGCCTGTGAATTGTTGTCCTTGTTGCTGCTGGTTGCGGCTGCAACTGTGGGGGGCTGGAGGGGTGTAGTTAATTTTGCGGGCCAAATGGACCCCCTAAACTAGGACCCCCAGGCCCCCTTTCCTGGCACGACCTCGATGCTCAGATTCGGTTGCTGAAAAGCAAAAAGAGGTGCGTTCCAGTGGCTTTCAAACATCTTTGAAGATGATGAAAAAAGCAGCTTGAAACAATGGCCAAGGAATCCGGCAAATCTTCCAACACTCCATCGTTTAGAAGTGCTTTGAACAATGGTCAGGAAGCGCGTCTTCTCCGTGAAAAGCTCCTCTTGACCTCCGTCCGCGATTTGAAATTGCTTGAAACAAGCGTTTTTGAAAGCCTCTGACAGTGCCGTTTGGACAGAAATCAACTGCAGGACGAGACGAGTTCAACTGTACTGCTGAGACGTCCATGTTGCGCGCGACGCCCAAACCGAACCGTTTTGAAAAGGCAAAGTGTCTTTCCACAATGTGAATAAGTGCGAGCGAAGCGAGTAAAACACCGGAGTGCATCTGACATGTGTTTTGTTGTCAGAGCTTTTTTTTGATGGTTTACATTTTGATCGTCTTACTTTTGTTGATTGTCAGGTGTTGTCTGTACTGTTTTTTTTTTTTCGGATCACTTTTTTTGATGAATAATTTCAAGGTTCCTTTTTTCAGACCAACGATTGCAACTTTCTGGCAAGCTCAAAAAGCATCTGCATTTGCTTGGGATCTCTCTGCAAGCGAGACACTCCATGGTTCAAAGTCCATTCATAAGACACCTGGTTTT